ACCAACCCCAAAACCCCCAACCCTGACCCAAAACCCCAAAAAACCCTATATTTTTATCCCCTTTGGAACAGCTTTGGGCCCAAAATCCCCCACCTAGGGAAAAGGGAACAAGCCCAGGGGCACACCTAGGGAATAGTGTGCCAATTTGGGATGTGGGGGGGGTTTTTTTTTTTCCCCCCCCCCCGGGGGACCCCTTTGTTCAGGATCACAAATAGAAGGGGGGCAAGGGGGTTTTTTTCGCTTTAAGTATAAATCAGGCGCCATGTGCGTTTTATTTTGCCCTTGGGCCCGGTTTTCCAAAGGGATCAAGGGAAAAGGCCCAAGGCCAAACCTCTGCCCCAAACCCCTTTCCAACCTCCCCCAACCCCCGACCCCCCCGGTCAAACTATATCCTCCCTTTGGGCATTTAAAACGATCGCCCCTGAAAACCCAAAGCCCTTTAAAACCAAAAAAGCATTTAACTGTTCCCCCAATCAAAAAACCCAAAAAACGCAAAAATCGTTAAAAACTTTAAAAATTCGGGGAAACCCAGGGATCTATACTGAACAAAAAATAATTAAAGCAAATCAGCAATTTTAAAGATTTTTCTGAGTTACAGTTCTATAAGGAAATCAGTCAATTTTTAAAAACATTCAAGGCCCTAAAAAATTTTTTTTGGGGTTTGGGGGGGGGTTTGGGAAAAAAGGGCAGGGGGGGAAGGGCCCTGGGTGGGCAAGGACAACCCCCTGGGGAAACCCAAAAGGCCAGCGAAACAAAATGAGTTTTTTCCCCACAAAAAGGGCCCTTTTTTACAAAGAACCCGAAATACTCCTCAGTTTATAAGTTTGGGGGGGGGTGGTTCGGAAAGATTTCCCCCCCGGGTGAAGAAAAAAGGCCCGATGTGGGAGGGTCCTGGGTGGGGTGGGACACCCGGGTTTTTTTGAGGCCCTTGGACTTCCCAAAAAATCTTAAAAGACGTGGGGGCCGGGGTTTTGGTAGGTGAAATTAACAAACATTATTGCCAAAAAACTCTGGGGGAATTCCTGCAGTCAGATGCCAATTGTTTTGCTCCCTCAAAACTTGGGGAAAAATTTTGGCATTGGTTTGTGACAAAAATTTCACATTTTAGGTGGACTTTTTTTGTCCACAGCAAAAAGGTGCACCTGGTAAGATCTGCTGTTAATCAGCTTTGATATCCACACCCCGTCAGGGGAGGATTTTTTGGCAAAAAAACAAATTTCCACCAAACAGGGATGTAACAATTTAAAAAATTTTTGCACAACATTTTAGAGAAATAAGCTTTTTTTGCGTATGGAAAAAAAATTTGGGGGTTTTTTTAAAGCTCATTTAAACAAGGGACCAAAAATATTTTTTTTTCAGTATAAAACCAAAAATTTTTTCCCCGGTATTTAAAAAAGTACATATTAAAAGCTTTTTTTAAAAATTAATTTCTCCAAGGGTTTTTGGGCCCTTCCCTTTTAATCAGGACAATTTAGAAAAAAAACAGGGGTTCCATTTTCCCTAAAAAAAAAGGGGCCAAAAAAAAAAAACAAAAGAACAAAAAAAAAAATCAAAAAAAAAAAAAAAAAAAAACCCCCTTTTAAAAACCCAATTAAAAAAAAAAAAAAAAGAAAACCAAGAAAGCCCTTTATTCTATATATATTTTAATTATAAAATTTTTTTTAAAAATTTGGCTAAATTATTTTTTATGTTAAAATTTTTTGTTTTATTCTTTCTTTTCTAGTTTTATCTTTTTGTAAACTTTCTATTTAAAATTTTTGTAATTTATTTTTTTTGTTTTTTAAAATTTTTGTAAATCTCTTATGTATTTTTTTTCGTTTTTTAATATTTCTGTAAAAATTTTTTTTTTTATGTAATTTTTTTTTTGTTAAATTTTATCTTTCTTTTTGTATTTTGTCCCTTAAAATTTTTGTAATATTAAATTTATTTTAGTTTTATCTTTTTCTGTCTCTCTCTTTTCCTCTCCTTTTTCCTCCCTTCCCTCCTTCCCCTCCCCTTCCACAGAAGAGGATGTGACGGTTGGTAAGTTCTACGCCACCTTCCTGATTCAGGACTACTTCAGGAAGTTCAGGAAGAGAAAAGAGCAAGGAGACCTGGAGGAGGCCGACCCAAACAGCACTTCTGCTGCTCTACAGGTTAGCAGCCTATCTCTTGTTTCTGTAGCGTGAGGCAGCTTCCAGGATGGAAATGAAGCTAGCCCGCTAGATCAAGGCTAGTACTTTTCAGACTGGGCTAGTAGACAATGTGCCAAACTAGTCCAAAAGGCCAGTGAAATCTTTAATATGGCACAGATTTTGGTGGTCTACTAGCCTGGCTGGCCAGTACCCCAAATCCTTAAGTTCTATCCCTGGGAAGCTTGATATACAAGTACACCCCTGGACAGGACGCTAGTCTATCACAGGGCCTTACCCCCCCCAATCCATCTCCTTAATGCTGAGTGCCAAGCAGAGAAGCATCTGGTTCCATTTTTAGAGTCTTTGGTATGACTCAACCGAGGATCGGTCGGTGCTGTATATCTGTGTTGCGCTGCGTACAGTTTCCTCTGCATACGGTCTCCTCTGTATACAGACAGTAGCTGCCATGCTCTGTATATACTGTATACTAGCTATACGTTAGAGTACTTGCTATACGTTAGAGTACTAACTATACGGTAGAGTACTAACTATACGTTAGAGTACTAGCTATACGGTAGAGTACAATATCGGTTAAATACTACTATACGGTAGAGTATAATATACGGTGATACTAACTAGCGGTAGAGTACTAACTATACGGTTTAGCAGGTACTAACATACGGTTAGAGTACTAACTATAGGTAGAGTACTAACTATACGGTTGAGTACTAACTATACGGTAGAGTACTAACTATACGGTATAGTACTAACTATACGGTTGAGTACTAACTATACGGTAGAGTACTAACTATACGGTATAGTACTAACTATACGGTAGAGTACTAACTATACGGTAGAGTACTAACTATACGGTAGAGTACTAACTTACGTTAGGTACTAGCTATACGGTATTTTTTAGAGTACTAACTATACGGTAGAGTACTAACTATACGGTATAGTACTAACTATACGGTTTATAGTACTAGCTATACGGTATAGTACTAACTATACGGTTAGAGTACTAACATAGGTAAAAGTACTAACTATACGGTAAGGAGTACTAACTATAGGGTTTAGAGTACTTGATACGGAAAGAGTACTTGCTAACGGTATAAGTACTAACTATACGGTAGAGTACTAGCTATACGTTAGAGTACTAACTATACGGTAGAGTACTAACTATACGGTAGAGTACTAACTAAGTAGATGTGTCTTGGTCTGTATACATATACTATATATACTGTATATACAGTGGGGAGAACAAGTATTTGATACACTGCCGATTTTGCAGGTTTTCCTACTTACAAAGCATGTAGAGGTCTGTAATTTGTATTATAGGTACACTTCAACTGTGAGTGACGGAATCTAAAACAAAAATCCAGAAAATCACATTGTATGATTTTTAAGTAATTAATTTGCATTTTATTGCATGACATAAGTATTTGATACATCAGAAAAGCAGAACTTAATATTAGGTACAGAAACCTTTGTTTGCAATTACAGAGATCATACGTTTCCTGTAGGTCTTGATCAGGTCTGCACACACTGCATGCAGGGATTTTGGCCCCACTCCTCCATACAGACCTTCTCCAGATCCTTCAGGTTTCGGGGCTGTCGCTGGGCAATACGGACTTTCAGCTCCCTCCAAAGATTTTCTATTGGGTTCATGTCTGGAGACTGGCTAGGCCACTCCAGGACCTTGAGATGCTTCTTACGGAGCCACTCCTTAGTTGCCCTGGCTGTGTGTTTCGGGTCGTTGTCATGCTGGAAGACCCAGCCACGTCCCATCTTCAATCCTTTTACTGAGGGAAGGAGGTTGTTGGCCAAGATCTTGCGATACATGTCCCCATCCATCCTCCCCTCAATACGGTGCAGTCGTCCTGTCCCCTTTGCAGAAAAGCATCCCCAAAGAATGATGTTTCCACCTCCATGATTCACGGTTGGGATGGTGTTCTTGGGTTGTACTCATCCTTCTTCTTCCTCCAAACACGGCGAGTGGAGTTTAGACCAAAAAGCTCTATTTTTGTCTCATCAGACCACTTGACCTTCTCCAATTCCTCCTCTGGATCATCCAGATGGTCATTGGCAAACTTCAGACGGGCCTGGACATGCGCTGGCTTGAGCAGGGGGTCCTTGCGTGCGCTGCAGGATTTTAATCCATGACGGCGTAGTGTGTTACTAATGGTTTTCTTTGAGACTGTGGTCCCAGCTCTCTTCAGGTCATTGACCAGGTCCTGCCGTGTAGTTCTGGGCTGATCCCTCACCTTCCTCATGATCATTGATGCCCCACGAGGTGAGATCTTACATGGAGCCCCAGACCGAGGGTGATTGATCGTCATCTTGAACTTCTTCCATTTTCTAATAATTGCGCCAACAGTTGTTGCCTTCTCACCAAGCTGCTTGCCTATTGTCCTGTAGCCCATCCCAGCCTTGTGCAGGTCTACAATTTTATCCCTGATGTCCTTACACAGCTCTCTGGTCTTGGCCATTGTGGAGAGGTTGGAGTCTGTTTGATTGAGTGTGTGGACAGGTGTCTTTTATACAGGTAATGAGTTCAAACAGGTGCAGTTAATACAGGTAATGAGTGGAGAACAGGAGGGCTTCTTAAAGAAAAACTAACAGGTCTGTGAGAGCCGGAATTCTTACTGGTTGGTAGGTGATCAAATACTTATGTCATGCAATAAAATGCAAATTCATTACTTAAAAATCATACAATGTGATTTTCTGGATTTTTGTTTTAGATTCCGTCTCTCACAGTTGAAGTGTACCTATGATAAAAATTACAGACCACTACATGCTTTGTAAGTAGGAAAACCTGCAAAATCGGCAGTGTATCAAATACTTGTTCTCCCCACTGTATATATATAGGTTCTCACCCTCTCTCTCTCTCTGTGTGCAGCTGTGTCAGGCGGGTCTGCGTACGCTGCAGGACCTGGGGCCGGAGATGAGGATGGCCATGTCAGCTGACCTGGAGGAGGAAGAGGAGGAGGGCATGGAGGAAGAGCCAGAGGAAGATGATTCTCACTATAAGGTCACTGTATATAATGCTTCTATAGGATGGTTACTATAGTATGTTGTATGATCTCAACGTGTTTTTGAGACGGGGCAGACACTGGCAGGCTGTAAAACAGGGCTGTCCAAACACATTCAGCTGGATTTAACGTTGTGATTTAACCTCTAACCTTGTACACGTTTGAAATGGACTACATTGCAGTTGGACTGCGCAGAATCACTGATCTAGAAATCACACAAATAACTAACTACTCATTACGTGATCGAGATGAGTGATTCTGTGCATTGCCTTGCTCAACTGATCCCCTCAAACACTCTCCCCACAGACTGATAACGGCTATGCCACTGAGGGTAAAGACAGGCGTGGCTCCATGGCCACCACCATTACTGGAGGAGGAGGTATGCCCAGGGAGAGTCTCTCCAACGGGGGTCTGGCACACCGAGGCTCCCCCAACGGAGGAGGTCTGGAGCAGGATGAGCTGGGACGAGGAGACAACGTGAGGTCTTCGCTCAACCACCCTCGTCGTCATTCTTCCGTTAAGAACGGACTGGTGGACCAACCGGCCATGAGCAGAAGGAATTCCAACAAGTATTCAAGGTAGGCAGCTGACTAATCTAAGGAAACCCAGAACTAAAATCTCAGGTAATTACATCAGATGCTCCATTAGGTTCTGGGGAGAGATAATAACAAGAAAAAAAGCCTGTAAACTGAAACTCTCAGCCAAAGCATGGGCCAAATGTCCCCTCCCTATCCGAAATTCGAAAGATGTGAACACATATGAAAATGGGATTTGTCCAAATGATCCGTGACTGAAACAAATCTGTGCACCAGAACAATGTTCCTCGTTAGTTGTCGCAGACGCTACGATACTATCCTACGTTACGTGTTTTTGTCCATGAGAGTGATTATCAGCTGACTGAATGCCAGACTGACCCTCTCTGTCATCCTTTCTGTCTCTTTTCAGCTGACTGACTGCAAGACGAACCTTCTCATGTTCTTCATTCTGTCTCTGTTATCAGCTGACTGACTAGGCCCCAGGACTGACCCTTCATCCCGGTCTCTCCTTCCTGTCTATGTTATTCAGCCCTTGACTGGACTGCCCAGGGACTTGGACCCTTCTCTGTCTCTCATTCTAGGTCTTGTTATCAGCCTGGATGACTGCCAGACTGAGCCCTTCTCCTGTCTATCTTCTGTCTCTGTTATCAGCTGACGACTGCAGACGGACCCTTCGCCTGTCTCTCCTCTGTCTCTGTATCAGCTGACTGACTTGCAGACTGCCCTTCTCCTGTCTCTCCCTTCTGTCTCTGTTACAGCTGATGACTGCCCGGACTGACCCTTCTCAGGTCTCTCCTTCTGTCTTGTTATCAGCTGACTGATGCAGAATGACCCTTTCCTGTCTCTCTTCTGTCTCTGTATAGCCTGACTGACTGACAGACTGACCCTTTCTTCCTGTCTCTCTCTGTCTTGTTAGCAAGCTGACTGACTGCAGACTGAACCCTTCTCCTGTCTCTCCTTCTGTCTCTGTATTCAGACTGAGGACGACAGACTGACCCCCTTCTCTGTCTCTCATATGCTCTGTTATCAGCTGACTGACTGCCAGACTGACCCTTCTCCTGTCTCTCCTTCTGTCTCTGTTATCAGCTGACTGACTGCCAGACTGACCCTTCTCCTGTCTCTCCTTCTGTCTCTGTTATCAGCTGACTGACTGCCAGACTGACCCTTCTCCTGTCTCTCCTTCTGTCTCTGTTATCAGCTGACTGACTGCCAGAAGGACCCTTTTCCTGTCTATCCTTCTGTATCTGTGATCAGCTGACTGACGGCCGATGACCCTTCTCCTGTCTCTCTTCTGCTTGTTATCAGCTGACTGGACTGCAGACGACCCTTCTCCTGCTCTCCTTATGTCTTGTTATCAGCTGAATGAATGCCAGACGGACCCTTCTCTGCTTCATTGTACTCTGTTATCAAGCTGAAGGACTGCCAGACTGACCCTTCTCCTGTCTTTCATTCTGTCTTGTTATCACTGACTGACTGACAGAATGGACCATTCTCCGGTCTCTCCTTCTTTCTTGTTATCAGATGACTGACGGCCAGATGACCCTTTCCGTCTCTCCTTCTGTCTCTGTTATCAGCTGACGGCCTGACAGACTGACACCCCCCCCCCGTCTCTGTCTATCCTTCGTCTCCTGTTATCAGCTGACTGACTGCCAGACTGACCCTTCTCCTGTCTCTCCTTCTGTCTCTGTTATCAGCTGACTGACTGCCAGACTGACCCTTTCTGTCTCTCCTTCTGTCTCTGTTATCAGCTGCCTTTGACTGCCGATGACCCTGCTCAGTCTCTCCTTCTGTCTCTGTACAGCTGACTGACTGCCAGACTGACCCTTCTCTGTTCTCTCCTTTGTCTCTGTTATCAGCGACTGACTGCCAGGCCTGACCCCGTTCTCCGGTCTCTCCTTCTTGTCTCTGTTATCAGCTGACTGACTGCCAGACTGACCCTTTACTTGTCTCTCCTTCGTCTCTGTTTAATCAGCTGGGATGATTGCCAGACTGACCCTTCTCCGTCTTCCTTCTGCTCTGTTATCAGTATGACTGCCGACTGACCCTTCCTGTCTTCTTTGTCTCTGTTATCAGCTGACGATGCCAGACTGGACCCTTCCTGTCTCTCTTCTGCTCTGGTATCAGTGACTACTGCCGACTGACCCTGCTCATGTCTCTCCTTATGTCCTCTTGTATCAGCTGACTGACTGCCAGACTGACCCTTTTCCTGTCTCTCCTTCTGTCTCTGTTCATACATGTTTCTGCTGTTTGCTTATCTTCCTCCCAATCAGCACGTCAGTCTGTCAGTCCGTCAATCAATCCGTCAATCAGTCCGTCAGTCCATTAATCAGTCAATCAATCCCTCCCTCTCTCCAGTAGAAGAGACAACAGAGGAGACAGATATTCTCCTGTCCGAGGTCGTAACGGAGGGATGGATGGAGGAGAGGAGAGTTACGGAGGGGAGGAGGGTTACTATGATGAGGATAACGAGAGCCTAGACCCTCGTGACAGGTAACGTGTCTGTCTGTCTGTCTGTTGTCTGGTTTGGTCTGTCTGACAGGTAATGTGTCTGTAGGTCTGTCGGTCTGACAGGTAATGTGTCTGTCTGTATGTCTGTAGTCTCTCTGTCTGTCTGTCTGTCTCTCTTTGACAGGTAATGGTCGTCGGTCTGGTGTCTGTCTGTCTGTCTGTTCTGTCTGTCTGTCTGACAGGTAATGTGTGGTCGTCTGTCTGTCTGTCTGGTCCGAACAGGTAATGTGTCTGTCGTCTGTCTCTTCTGTTGTCTGTCTCTCTGCTGACAGGTGATAGTGTACCTTCTGTGTCGTCTGTCTGTTGTCTGTCTGTCTGTTGCCTGTCGGTCTGACAGGTAAATGTGTCTGTCTGTCTGTCGGAAAGGTAATGTGTCTGTCTGTCTGTCTGTCTTTGTCTGTTGTCTGTCTGTGTCGTCTGTCTGTCTGTCTGTCGTCTGACAGGTAATTGGTCTGTATGTCTGTCTGTCTGTCTGTATGTGTCTGACAGGTAATGTGTGTCGTCTGTCTGAAAGGTAATGTGTCTGTCTGTCTTGACTGTCTGTCAGTTGTCTGTTGACAGGTAATGTGTCTGTTATGTCTGTCTGTATCTGTCTGACAGGTAATAATCGTCTGTTCTGTTGTATGAAGGAATTGTGTCTGTCTGTCTGTTCTGAAAGGTAATGTGTCTGTGTCTGTCTGTCTGTTCTCTGTAGGTCTGTCTCTCTGTCTGACAGGTAATACGTCTGTCTGTGTCTGTCTGTACTGTCTGTCTGGCTGTCTCTCTGTCTGTCTGTCTGTCTCTTGTATGTCTGGTGTCTGGTCTGTATGTCTGTTCTGTTGACAGGTAGGTGTCTGTCGTTGGTATGTCTGTCTGACAGGTAATGTGTTCTGTCGGTCTGACGGTATGTGTCTGTCTGTCTGTCTCTTCTGTCTGTCTGTCTGATCTCTCTGTCTGACAGTTAGTGTGTTGTCTGTTGTCTGTTGTCTGTAGGTCTTCTGTCTGTCGTCTGTCTGTCTCTGTCTGACAGGTTATGTGTCTGTTTGTCTGTCTGGCTGTCGGTCTGTCTGTTTTCTGTCTGTCTGAAAGGTAATGGGTCTGTCTGTCTGTCTGTCCTGTCTGACAAGGTAATGTGTATGTCTGTCTGTCTGTCTGTTCTGTTATGTCTGTCATGTCGTCTGGTCTGTCTGGTATGTCGTTCTGTATGTCTGTCTGTATGTCTGTCTGTCTGTCTGGTCGTCTGTCCTGAAGGTAATGTGTCTGTCGTCTGTCTGACAGGTAAGGGGTCTGTCTGTATGTCTGTCTGTGGGTCTGTATGTCTGTTATGTTTGTCTGTCTGAAAGGTAATGTGTCTGTTGTCTGTCTGACAGGTAATGTGCCTGGTATGTCTGTATCTCTGGTCTGTCTGTCCTGTCTGTCGAGATGTCTGTCTGTCTGTTGTCTGTCTGACCGGTAATGTGTCTGTCTGTATGTCGTCTGTCTGTCTGTCTGTATTGTCTGCTGTCGTTTGTCTTTCTGTCTGTATGTCTGTCTGTTGTCTGACAGGTAATGTGTAGTCTGTCTGTTGTCTGTCTGTTGTCTGACAGGTAATGTGTCTGTCTGTCTGACGGCGGACAGGTAGGGTTGCTGTCTGTCTGTCTGTCCGCTTCTGTCTGTCTGAAAGGTAATGTGTCTGTCTGTCTGTCGTCTGTCTGTCTGTCGACAGTAATGTGTCTGTCTGTCTGTCTGTCTGTCTGTCTGTCCGTCTGTCTGTCTGAAAGGTAATGTGTCTGTCTGTCTGTCTGTCTGTCTGACAGGTAGTGTGTCTGTCTGTCTGTCTGTCTGTCTGTCTGTCTGTCTGACAGGTAATGTGTCGTCTGACTGTCTGACAGGTAATGTGTCTGTCTGTCTGCCTGTCTGTCTGTCTGACAGGTAATATGTCTGTCTGTCTGTCTGACAGGTAATGTGTCTGTCTGTCTGTCTGACAGGTAATGTGTCTGTCTGTCTGTCTGTCTGACAGGTAATGTGTATGTCTGTCTGTCTGTCTGTCTCTCTGTCTGTCTGTCTCTCTGTCTGACAGGTAATACTGTCTGTCTGTCTGTCTGATCTGTATGTCTGTCGTCTGTTGTCTGACAGTTAATTCTGTCTGTTCGTCTGTCTGTCGACAGGTGGTTAAGTGTCTGTCGTCTGACAGGATTGTATCTGTCTGTATGTCTCTCTGTGTCTGTCTTTGCTGAAAGGGAGTGTGTGTCTGTCTGTCTGGCTGTCTGTCTATCTGTCTGACAGGTAATGTGTCTGTCTGTCTGTCTGTCTGTCTGTTGTCTGAAAGGTAGTGTCTGTCGGTCTGTCTGTCTGTCTCTCGCTCTCTGTCTGTTCTGTTCTGGTCTGTCTGTCGTCTGTCTGTCTGTCTGCAGGGAAGTGCATGTCGGTCGTCTGTCTCTGTCTGTCTGTTTCTGTCTGTCTGTCTGTCTGTCTGTCTGTCTGTCTGTCTGTTGTACTGGGGGGACAGGGGTAAGTGTTCGGTCTGTCTGTCTGTCTGTCTGTATGTGTGTTGTTGTCTGTCTGCTGTCCGTCGTCTGTCTGTCTGTCTGGTCTGTCTGTCGCCACGGTAAGGTGTATGTCTGTCTGTCTGTGGGTATGTCTTCTGTCTGTCTGACAGAATGTGTCATGTCTGGTCTGTCTGACAGGTAATGTGTCTGTCTGTCTGGCTCTCTCTCTCTTGTCTGGTTGTCTGTCGTCTGTCGTCTGTCTGTCTGGTCTGTCTGTCTGGACTGTCTGAAGGTAATGTGTCTGTTGTCTGTCTGTCTGTCTGACAGGTAATGTGTCTGTCTTTGGTCTGTCTGTCTGTCTGTCTGTCTGTCTGTCTTGTCTGTTGTCTGAAGGTAATGTGTCTCTGTCGTCTCGTCTGTCTGTCTGTCTGTCTGATAGGTAAGTTGTCTGTCTGTCTGTCTGTCTCTCTGTCTGTCTGTCTGTCTCTCTGACAGGTAATGTGTCTGTCTGTCTGTCTGTCTGTCTGTCTGTCTGTCTGTCTGTCTGACAAGTAATGTGTCTGTCTGTATGTCTGACATGTAATGTGTCTGTCTGTCTGTGTCTATGTGTCTGTCTGTGTCTCTGTGTGTCTATGTGTCTGTCTGTCTGTGTGTCTGTATGTTTGTGTATCTGTCTATCTATGTGTCTGTGTGTCTGTCTATGTGTCTGTGTGTCTATGTGTCTGTCTGTCTGTCTCTCTGTCTGTGTGAAAGGTAACGTGTGTGTCTGTCTGTCTGTCTGTCTGTCTGTCTGTCTGTCTGTCTGTCATGTCTGTCTGTCTGTCTGTCTGTCTGACAGGTAATGTGTCTGTCTGTCTGTCTGTCTGTCTGTCTGTCTGTCTGTCTGTCTGTCTGTCTGTCTGTCTGTCTGTCTGTCTGTCTGTCTGTCTGTCTGACAGGTAATGTGTCTGTCTGTCTGACTGTCTGACAGGTAATGTGTCTGTCTGTCTGTCTGTCTGTCTGTCTGTCTGTCTGTCTGATAGGTAATTGTCTGTCTGTCTGTCTGTCTGTCTGTCTGTCTGTCTGTCTGTCTGTCTGTCTGTCTGTCTGTCTGACAGGTAATGTGTCTGTCTGTCTGTCTGTCTGTCTGTATGACAAGTAATGTGTCTGTCTGTCTGTCTGACAAGTAATGTGTATGTCTGTCTATGTGTCTGTCTGTGTGTCTGTGTGTCTATGTGTCTGTCTGTCTGTGTGTCTACAGTGAGGGAAAAAAGTATTTGATCCCCTGCTGATTTTGTACGTTTGCCCACTGACAAAGACATGATCAGTCTATAATTTTAATGGTAGGTTTATTTGAACAGTGAGAGACAGAATAACAACAAAAAAATCCTGAAAAACGCATGTCAAAAATGTTATAAATTGATTTGCTTTTTAATGAGGGAAATAAGTATTTGACCCCTCTGCAAAACATGACTTAGTACTTGGTGGCAAAACCCTTGTTGGCAATCACAGAGGTCAGACGTTTCTTGTAGTTGGCCACCAGGTTTGCACACATCTCAGGAGGGATTTTGTCCCACTCCTCTTTGCAGATCTTCTCCAAGTCATTAAGGTTTCTAGGCTGACGTTTGGCAACTCGAACCTTCAGCTCCCTCCACAGATCTTCTATGGGATTAAGGTCTGGAGACTGGCTAGGCCACTCCCGGACCTTAATGTGCTTCTTCTTGAGCCACTCCTTTGTTGCCTTGGCCGTGTGTTTTGGGTCATTGTCATGCTGGAATACCCATCCACGACCCATTTTCAATGCCCTGGCTGAGGGAAGGAGGTTCTCACCCAAGATTTGACGGTACATGGCCCCGTCCATCGTCCCTTTGATGCGGTGAAGTTGTCCTGTCCCCTTAGCAGAAAAACACCCCCAAAGCATAATGTTTCCACCTCCATGTTTGACGGTGGGGATGGTGTTCTTAGGGTCATAGGCAGCATTCCTCCTCCTCGATTTTGGTCTCATCTGACCACAACACCTTCAACCAGTTCTCCTCTGAATCATTCAGATGTTCATTGGCAAACTTCAGACGGGCCTGTATATGTGCTTTCTTGAGCAGGGGGACCTTGCGGGCGCTGCAGGATTTCAGTCCTTCACGGCGTAGTGTGTTACCAATTGTTTTCTTGGTGACTATGCTCCCAGCTGCCTTGAGATCATTGACAAGATCCTCCCGTGTAGTTCTGGGCTGATTCCTCACCGTTCTCATGATCATTGCAACTCCACGAGGTGAGATCTTGCATGGAGCCCCAAGCCGAGGGAGATTGACAGTTCTTTTGTGTTTCTTCCATTTGCGAATAATCACACCAACTGTTGTCACCTTCTCACCAAACTGCTTGGCGATGGTCTTGTAGCTCATTCCAGCCTTGTGTAGGTCTACAATCTTGTCCCTGACATCCTTGGAGAGCTCTTTGGTCTTGGCCATGGTGGAGAGTTTGGAATCTGATTGATTGATTGCTTCTGTGGACAGGTGTCTTTTATACAGGTAACAAACTGAGATTAGGAGCACTCCCTTTAAGAGTGTGCTCCTAATCTCAGCTCGTTACCTGTATAAAAGACACCTGGGAGCCAGAAATCTTTCTGATTGAGAGGGGGTCAAATACTTATTTCCCTCATTAAAATGCAAATCAATTTATAACATTTTTGACATGCGTTTTTCTGGATTTTTTTGTTGTTATTCTGTCTCTCACTGTTCAAATAAACCTACCATTAAAATTATAGACTGATAATTTCTTTGTCAGTGGGCAAACGTACAAAATCAGAAGGGGATCAAATACTTTTTTCCCTCACTGTATGTGTCTGTCTGTGTGTGTCTGTGTGTGTGTGTGTGTCTGTGTGTGTTTGTGCATGTGTGTTTGTGTCTGTCTGTGTGTGTCTATGCGTGCGTCTGTGTGTGTGTCTGTGTGTGTGTGTGTGTGTGTGTGTGTCTGTGTGTGTGTGTGTCTGTGTGTGGGGGTGTGTGTGTCTGTGTGTGTGTCTGTCTGTCTGTGTGTCTGTGTGTGGTGTGTGTGGTGTGTGTGTGTCTGTGTGTGTGTCTGTGTGTCTGTGTGTGTGTGTGTGTATGTGTGTGTGTGTCTTTAGGAGTGTTTGAGAATATGTGTGCTGATGCTAGAAGTTTGCTAGTGTGTATATATATATATATTATTGTGTTTGTTTTGATCTTGATCCTAATCTTAATCCCATTCCTCCCACCCAGACTTCGTTACCCTGACGACCCTCCTCTGTACCCTGGTCAGCGTGACGCCCACGCCCCCAGCAACGCTGCCTACGGTAATAACTATGGCAACGGGAACGGGAATGGCTATGGAGATGGACGGAGGACCGCGAGGAGACGCCTCCTCCCCGCCACACCTACCGGTAACGTCACTACACCAGGGCTGCTTTACACGGGGCATGACGGTGGGGAACTATCAGGTAGAAATATATCATGTAAAACAAATATGGCCTCTCACTCATGTAGAGTAAGGAATCATGTCATCTCTATTCATGACATTTCTATCTGCAATGCTCGGAACGTTTTACGCTCTTGGCCTCTCTTTACACTGTCTTAATGTTGGTTGTCCTCATTCAGTGGTAAACTACAGTACAAGTCAAATGTTTGGACACACGTACTCATTCCGGGGTTTTTCTTTATTTTTACTATTTTCTACATTGTAGAATAATAGTGAAGACATCAAAACTATGAAATAACACATATGGAATCATGTAGTAACCCAAAAAGTTTTAAACAAATCAAAATATATTTTATATTTGAGATTCTTCAAAATAGCCACCCTTTGCCTTGATGACAGCTTTGCACACTCTTGGCATTCTCTCAACCAGCTTCATGAGGAATGCTTTTCCAACAGTCTTGAAGGAGTTCCCACATATGCTGAGCACTTGTTGGCTGCTTTTCCTTCCTGGTTCCACCATGTAACTTCCTGTTTACTTCCTGGTTCCACCATGTGGACTTAGTGTATATTTCTTGCTTCCTCCATGTGACATCCTGTTTACTTCCTGGTTCCTCCATGTGAATTCCTGTTTACTTCCTGGTTCCACCATGTGACTCCCTATTTACGTCCTGGTTCCTCCCAGGTCGTAAGCCATCCTTTAATATCCAATGTCTGAGGAGGCAGGACAGCAATGATGACCTCCCCATCCCAGGAACCTACCACCAGAACTCTCCCCCCTGTCGGGCACGCACACAGGTCACCACACAGGTAACACATCAGCACCGTCACACACACACACACACACACACACACACACACACACACACACACACACACACACACACACACACACACACACACACACAGATAACAACATCAGCACCGTCACACACACACACGCACAGAGAGATAACATCAGTACCGTCACACACACACTTGCAGATAACAACATCAGCACCGTCACACACACACACACACACACACACACACACACACACACACACACACACACACACACACACACACACACACACACACACACACACACACACACACACACACACACACACACACACACACACACACACACACAGATAACAACATCAGCACCGTCACACACACACACGCACAGAGAGATAACATCAGCACCGTCACACACACACGCAGATAACAACATCAGCACCGTCACACACACACACACACACACACACACTCTCACACACACACACACACACTCATACACACACACAGGTAACAAGGAATATTGGAAATGTGTAGCAATAGCTGTAACATTTCTCAAACTCTCTGTAATTCTTTCCCCCCCCCATCCCTCCAGACGTACGGCAGTTACGAGTCTCGTCGCAGCAGCAGCCGTTCCTCAACAGGTTCCTCTGCCTCCTGGGCTAACCCTTGCCCTCGCCGAGGTCGCCTCCTCTATGCCCCTCTCATCCTGGTCGAAGAAGAGGGGGTTGGGGGGAGCGGCGGCTCCGGGATCTGGGGAGACAAGAAGGGTGGAGGGGCCAACGTGACGGCTGCCACCTCCCGACCTGGTCCTGCTGGGTGGTACACAGGGCCCCCTGGCCCCTCAGAAGTCTCCCAGGCACCATATAGGGCCTATACCACACTGAGGGTCCCCACTCAGCTCAGCCCTCACTACAGCGACAAGAGAGGCAGTGCTGATAGCCTGGTGGAGGCAGTGAGTATAACACATTCAGACATATTTAGAGATTGATATTGATATAAGTCAGGACTAATCCATTCATTATGTTCAGGTTGTTGATGAGAAATTAATGTGTTTAAGTAAAAAAAAAAATTACTGTAAAAAAAAAAAAGATATCAACCAACCAACCAATCACTCTCTCTCCCCGTGTAGGTGCTGATCTCGGAGGGGCTGGGTCTGTACGCCAAGGACCCCAAGTTTGTGGCCTTCGCCAAACGGGAGATTGCTGACGCGTGTCACATGACAATTGACGAGATGGAGAGTGCGGCCAGCGACCTGCTGAGTCGGGGAAGCGGGGGCGGAGGGGGTGGCGGCTTCCTGAACAACCCCGACCTCGGAACCCTGTACAGCGACGAGGAGCCAATCAGAACGTGCCGCGACGAAGAAGACCTGGCGGACGAGATGACCTGCGTCACTTCCTTCTGACCTGTACGACGATCGATCAATTAATCAATCGATCGATCGTGATTGATTGAGTTTATTGTGATGAGGAGCAGACCAGACTTACTGGGCACGAGGGAGGACAGAGGACAACTGAGGGACAGACGGGTGGAGGACAGATAGGGAGCTGGACAGACAGACAAGAGGTTGTCCAGTCCAGTGTCCTTAGTCCCTCCATCTTGACTATAGACAGATATATATAATAGGCCTCTAGGCTTTACAGAGAATGGACCAAAGGGACTAGATGGAGACAGAGAATGGACCAAAGGCACTAGATGGAGACAGAGAATGGACCAAAGGCACTAGATGGAGACAGAGAATGGACCAAAGGGACTAGATGGAGACAGAGAATGGACCAAAGGCACTAGATGGAGACAGAGAATGGACCAAAGGGACTAGATGGAGACAGAGAATGGACCAAAGGCACTAGATGGAGACAGAGAATGGACCAAAGGGACTAGATGGAGACAGAGAATGGACCCAAAGGCACTAGATGGAGACAGAGAATGGACCAAAGGGACTAGATGGAGACAGAGAATGGACCAAAGGCACTAGATGGAGACAGAGAAATGGACCAAAGGCACTAGATGGAGACAGAGAATGGACCAAAGGGACTAGATGGAGACAGAGAATGGACCAAAGGAATAGATGGAGACAGAGATGGACCAAAGGGACTAGATGGAGACAGAGAATGACCAAAGGCACTAGATGGGAGACAGAGAATGGACAAAAGGGACTAGTCGAGACAGAGAATAAAGTGAAGAAGAAGAAGAAGAAAAAAAAAGAAAAGAAAGAAAAGAAGAAAGAAGAAAGGAAGAGAGAGAAGAAAGACGAGGAAGAAAGATGGAGACGGAAAGACGGTGAGCGATAGACCTCGCCCATAGGGCCCTTATGTGCTAGCTTGAGAAGGCCCATCTGGGAAGGTAGGAGAGACTCATTGGGTTGAGTGTGTGGAGGATCCATTCGGAGTTGATCTAGATTGGGGATTCATTAACAGGATAAACTAGAATATAAGAAATAACCCATCAGCAGATGAAGATGGTGGGGAAGTGAGAAGGCTACTGCCAGAGAGGAAATGAGGTGGATATTTACGGTGGAGCCGCGTTTTCTTTTGGCTCCGATTTTCCTTGCCGCCCCGTGGTGTTTTTGGGGCCTTCTGTATCCCTCTTTTCGTCTCTCTCTCCCCTTTCTCTCTCTTCGTTTTCTCTCCCCTCTCGCTCCCCTTCCCCCCCTTTTTCTCCTTTCTCCTTTTTCTCTTTCCCCTTTTTCCCTTTTCCGCTTTTCCTCTCCCCCTTTTCCCCCCCCTTTTTTTTTCTCTTTTTTTTTTTTTTTTTTTTCCCCCCTTTTTTTCCTTTTTTTTTTCCCCTTCCTCTTTTTTTTTCTCCCTTTTCCCCTCCTTTTTCAAAAGAAGACAGAAAAGACGTGAGCGATGACCTCCCCAATGACACCCTATATAGTGCACTGCTTTAGACAGGGCCCATGGCTTAGGGATAGGGTAGGAAGAAGGACCCATGGGAAGAGGAGGATCATAATGATGAGTTGATGGTTGGAGAAGATCAATTAACAGGGAAGAAGCTAGAATATGAAGAGAAATAAAAAAAACAATGGACAGAGAAAAGATGAGATAGAAAGATGGGGGAGAGAGGAAGGAAGAGAGTAGAAGGAAAAGATGGGGGAAGAGAGAGGAGAGTGGAGGGGGAGATAGGTGAGAAGTCGCGTTGCTTTGGCTGATGGGTGGGGGTATCGAGGTTCTTTGCGGCCGTGGGTGGATGTGGCTCTGTATTGTGCCCTTGCCATTTGTGGGGCAATCTTCTTCCACTGGTGCTCCGCTCTACTTGGGAGCGTCTCATGCTACTCGCTAGTGACCTGTGGGCTACGCTCCCCGTTGCGCGCTTTCGTCCTCGTCTTGTTTGCGCTGTGCGACCATGGCGCTTCGCTGCGTCGTGTTGTCTTATGTCTTCGTTGAACTGAGCTCGATCGCTAGCTACTTTTGAATGTTGTATGTTGGTTCTACTGTCGCCGCGCTCTCGCCGCTTTAGATGAGCTCGGGGGCTCGTCCTTGGGCTCTCTCCTTTTTCCTGCTGCCCCGTTTCTCCTCGTCTGCTCTGTCGACTGTCGTCTCTATTGAGGTATGGGGAGAGAGAGAGAGAGATGGTGGAGAGTGTGACTCAGTGTGCGTCTGCTGGGTGAGTAGCACTCTCAGCCCATGAACACATTTGCATCAAATTGTGTTGGTCTCTAATAACGGACTCCTTTGAAACATGTTTACTGTGCATCATGTTGTACATGGACATGATCTTGTTCGTTATACTGTTCATAACATTTTCATTTTCAGCTTTAGATTTGTTTGATTTTATGAAAGAACTGAAATTGTGAAATACTTTTAAAAAACGAAGTTGTAAGTGTTGTCTTGTCGTCGTGAAGCGTCTACTACCAGGCTTGGTTGGGGGTCAATTCAGTTTCCAATTCAGTCAATTGAAATTAAATTCATGAATTGAAAAAAAAATTGTCTGCATTGTTTTCTATGAGGATTTTTCAATTCCTGAATTAGAATTAGAATTCACTTGCCCGAATTGGCTGAATTAAAAACTGTTCTGTTCTTCTTCTCTTTGTGCTAGATATCACGTCTATGTTCCCTCCTGTTTGAAAACATCACATCACCTCTGTTGTCTTATTTAGTCGTTTTCCATGATGTCTCTGTTCTGTGCCCTAAATAACTCCCCCATTCCCTAAATAGTGCACTACTTCTGGACAGCGCTCTGGTCCAACGTAGTGCACTATGTAGGGAATAGTGTGCTATTTAGGACACCGACTCTGTCTAAATGCGCTGTGATTGCTGTTTTTAATAATAATAATAATAATAATAATAATAATAGTAATCTAATTTCAAGCTATTTCTTTCTTATTTTTTTTTTCCAATTATTTATATCCTGGACATGCAGGGTTTATAAAGCAGCATGAAATTGCTGAAAATACAAAAGTGTTCATTTTATTCTGGCATTAACTTAATTGCATGTTTTATCAGCTCATATAAACTAAAACAAAAGTTCATTTGAAATGTCATTGCTCATTGTCAAAGCATTATTGTTTTTATTCAGATTTCTATGATTCTATATGATCCTAATCAAATTAATTATAATGTCATATCGATAAACAAAATGGTGAACAAAATTGTGAATAAAATGGTTAAAGCCTCTTAACAATATCAACATGAGATCCTTGTAGTTTGTTATATCAACTTATCAATTTTATCGCATCAGTTCTTCTTCAGTTGTTGCTCCAGTGTTACTTAGGTCATGACGGTTCCTGACTGTCGTTGTAGTGTTGTCTCGCTACAAACACCAGGCCATGGGCTCTGCTGCCATCTAGGGATGGGAGGTGGAGGTGGATATGTTCTGTCTACCACGGCACCCAAGCACCGACCAATCCATTCCTCACAGCAGCAACAGTAGAGATGGTAGAAAAGATGATTGAGAGAAAGTAGACTAGCAGTAACTAGTAATGGTAAATTATTATAATAGCGTAGTACAGTATATAGTATTACTATTATTATCTGAAGAAGAAAACGGGCCGGTGTGTTAGTCTCAGTCCATCCCTTTTTATGTCTTTATAAACCCTGCAGTGAGTGATCATTATTATGTTTGCACATTTATTTACGTAAGTATTCACACCCCTGAGACAATACATGTTAGAGTCGCCAGCGATTACAGCTGTGAGTCTTTCTGGGTAAGTTTCTAAGAGCTTTACACACCTGGATTGTACGATATTTGCACATTGTTCTTTTCAGAATTCTTCAAGCTCTGTCAAATTGGTTGTTGATCATTGCTAGACAACCATTTTCAAGTCTTGCCATAGATTTTCAAGCAGATTTAAGTCAAAATTGTAACTCTGCCATTCAGGAACATTCACTGTCTTCTTGGTAAGTAACTCCAGTGTATATTTGGCCTTGTGTTTTAGGTTATTGCCCTTCTGAAAGGTGAATTCCATCTCCCAGTGTCTGGTGGAAAGCCGACTGAACCAGGTTTTCATCTAGGATTTTGCCTGTGTTAGTTCCATTCCATTTCTTTTTTTATCCTGAAAAACTCCCCAGTGCTTAATGATTACAAGCATACCCAAAACATGATGCAGCTACCACTATGCTTGAAAATATGGAGAGTGGTACTGAGTAATGTGTTGTATTGGATTTGCCCCAAACATAACACTTTGTATCAGTGGTGAACCGTGACTATAGGACCTAGGCCTTCAGAGGGACCAAACATCTTCCAATACGTAGTATCAAACCAAAATAAAATCATGAAAATAACAGAAAACATAGCATCACTTAATGCGCCGACATATCTTCTGTAGTCGGGAACGTTGTCGTGAAGGAGGAGCAATGCTTTTTGATGACATTATGACTGAATGAAAACAGGCCGCGCTTCGGGCTGCCGCACATGGAGACAGAACCGGCATGGACAGGAGACACAGCGTAACATGGTAGCCTAATAACACCACTATCACCAATAGCAACAACAGTGTCACCAAGGTGACAGGCTCATGTTGCTGAAAGGACAGCGACCGTTATACCTGTGCACTCCAAGGTACCGAAGAGGAGCCAGTTTTGGTCAAACACAGACACAGCTGGTAGACAGACGACAGCAGTCACGCACAGCATCAAATAATGTTAAAGAATAACCAGCCCATTCACTCCAGCAGCCCACATGAAATCATACCAATACAAAAGCGCAACCATTTCATTTCCAAAATGAAATTAACAAACCAGCTATTACTTCCCATTAAAAAATATACAGTAGAAGTCAGAAGTTTACACTTAGGTTGGAGTCATTAAAACTCGTTTTTCAACCACTCCACACTTTTCTTGTTAACAAACTATAGTTTTGGCAAGTCGGTTAGGACATCTACTTTGTGCATGACACAAGTAATTTTTCCAACAATTGTTTACAGACAGATTATTTCACTTATAATTCACTGTATCACAATTCCAGTGGGTCAGAAGTTTACATACACGAAGTTGACTGTGCCTTTAAACAGCTTGGAAAATACCAGAAAATGATGTCATGGCGCTTCCGATAGGCTAATTGACATAATTTGAGTCAATTGGAGGTGCACCTGTGGATGTATTTCAAGGCATACCTTCACACTCAGTGCCTCTTTGCTTGACATCATGGGAAAATCAAAAGAAATCAGCCAAGACATCAGGAAAAAATTGTAGACCTCCACAAGTCTGGTTAATCCTTGGAAGCAATTTCCAAACGCCTGTAGGTACCATGTTCATCTGTACAAACAATAGTACGCATATCGACATAACCTGAAAGGCTGCTGAGCAAGGAAGAAGCCACTGCTCCAAAACCGCCATTAAAAAAGCCAGACTACGGTTTGCAACTGCACATGGGGACAAAGATCGTACTTTTTGGAGAAATGTCCTCTGGTCTGATTAAACAAAAATAGAACTGTTTGGCCATAATGACCATCGTTATGTTTGGAGGAAAAAGGGGGTTGCTTGCAAGCTGAAGAACATCATCCCAACCGTGAAGCACGGGGTGGCAGCATCATGCTGTGGGGGACTGGTGTACTTCACAAAATAGATGGCATCATGAGGAAGGAAAATGATGTGGATATATTGAAGCAACATCTCAAGACATCAGTCAGGAAGTTAAAGCTTGGTCGCAAATGGGTCTTCCAAATGGACAATGACCCCAAGCATACTTCCAAAGTTGTGGCAAAATGGCTTAGGGACAACAAAGGTAATGGAGTGGCCATCACAAAGCCCTGACCTCAATCCTATAGAAAATGTGTGGGCAGAACTGAAAAAGTGTGTGCGAGCAAGGAGGCCTACAAACCTGACTCAGTTACACCAGCTCTGTCAGGAGGAATGGGCCAAAATTTACCCAACGTATTGTGGGAAGCTTGTGGAAGGCTACCTAAAATGTTTGACCCAAGTTAAACAATTTAAAGGCTATGCTACCAAATACTAATTGAGTGTATGTAAACTTCTGACCCACTGGGAATGTGATGAAATAAATAAAAGCTGATATAAATAATTCTCTATACTATTATTCTGACATTTCACATTCTTAAAATAAAGTGGTGATCCTAACTGACCAAAGACAGGGAATGTTTACTGGGAATAAATGTCAGGAATTGTGAAAAACTGAGTTTAAATGTATTTGGGTAAGGTGTATCCTAACTGTATTTTATCATTTTTTTATTTTTTTATTTCACCTTTATTTAACCAGGTAAGCCAGTTGAGAACAAGTTCTCATTTACAACTGCGACCTGGCCAAGATAAAGCAAAGCAGTGCGATAAAAACAACAACACAGAGTTACATATGGGGTAAAAAACATAAAGTCAAAAATACAACAGAAAATATATATACAGTGTGTGCAAATGTAGCAAGTTATGGAGGTAAGGCAATAAATAGGCTATAGTGCAAAATAATTACAATACTATTAACACTGGAATGCTAGATGTGCAAGAGATGATGTGCAAATAGAGATACTGGGGTGCAAAAGAGCAAAATAAATAACAATATAGGGATGAGGTAGTTGGGTGGGCTAATTTCAGATGGGCTGTGTACAGGTGCAGTGATCGGTAAGGTGCTCTGACAACTGATGCTTAAAGTTAGTGAGGGAGATAAGAGTCTCCAGCTTCAGAGATTTTTGCAATTCGTTCCAGTCATTGGCAGCAGAGAACTGGAAGGAATGGCGGCCAAAGGAGGTGTTGGCTTTGGGAATGAGATATACCTGCTGGAGCGCAGACTACGGGTGGGTGCTGCTATGGTGACCAATGAGCTAAGATAAGGCGGGGATTTGCCTAGCAGTGATTTATAGATGGCCTGGAGCCAGTGGGTTTGATGACGAACATGTAGTGAGGACCAGCCAACAAGAGCGTACAGGTCACAGTGGTGGGTAGCGTATGGGGCTTTGGAGACAAAACGGATGGCACTGTGATAGACTACATCCAATTTGCTGAGTAGAGTGTTGGAGGCTATTTTGTAAATGACATCGCCGAAGTCAAGGATCGGTAGGATAGTCAGTTTTACGAGGGCATGTTTGGCAGCATGAGTGAAGGAGGCTTTGTTGCGAAATAGGAAGCTGATTCTAGATTTAACTTTGGATTGGAGATTCTTTATGTGAGTCTGGAAGGAGAGTTTACAGTCTAACCAGACACCTAGGTATTTGTAGTTGTCCACATACTCTAGGTCAGACCCGTCAAGAGTGGTGATTCTAGTCGGGTGGGCGGGTGCCAGCAGCGTTCGATTGAAAAGCATGCATTTAGTTTTACTAGTGTTTAAGAGCAGTTGGAGGCTACTGAAGGAGTGTTGTATGGCATTGAAGCTCGTTTGGAGGTTTGTTAACACAGTGTCCAATGAAGGGCCAGATGTATACAAAATGGTGTCGTCTGCGTAGAGGTGGATCTGAGAGTCACCAGCAGCAAGAGCGACATCATTGATATACACGGAGAAAAGTGTCGGCCCAAGAATTGAACCCTGTGGCACCCCCATAGAGACTGCCATAGGTCCAGACAACAGGCCCTCCGATTTGACACACTGAACTCTATCTGAGAAGTAGTTGGTGAACCAGGCGAGGCAGTCATTTGAGAAACCAAGGCTATTTAGTCTGCCAATAAGAATGCGGTGGTTGACAGAGTCGAAAGCCTTGGCCAGGTCGATGAAGACGGCTGCACAGTACTGTCTATTATCAATCGCGGTTATAATATCGTTTAGGACCTTGAGTGTGGCTGAAGTGCACCCATGACCAGCTCGGAAACCGGATTGCATAGCGGAGAAGGTACGGTGGTATTCGAAATGTTCGGGGATCTGTTTGTTAACTTGGCTTTCAAATACTTTCGAAAGGCAGGGCAGGATGGATATAGGTCTGTAGCAGTTTGGATCTAGAGTGTCACCCCCTTTGAAGAGGGGGATGACCGCGGCAGCTTTCCAATCTCTGGGGATCTCAGACGTTATGAAAGAGAGGTTGAACAGACTAGTAATAGGGGTTGCGACAATTTCGGCGGCTAGAAAGAAAGGGTCCAGATTGTCTAGCCCAGCTGATTTGTAGGGGTCCAGATTTTGCAGCTCTTTCAAAACGTCTGCTGTCTGAATTTGTGTGAAGGAGAAGCGGGGGGGGCATGGGCAAGTTTCAGCGGAGGGTGCAGAGTTGGTGGCCGGGGTAGTGGTAGCCAGATGGAAAGCATGGCCAGCTGTAGCAAAATGCTTGTTGAAATTCTCGATTATTGTAGATTTATCGGTGGTGATAGTGTTTCCTAGCCTCAGTGCAGTGGGCAACTGGGAGGAAGTACTCTTATTCTCCATGGACTTTACAGTGTCCCAAAACTTTTTGGAGTTAGTGCTACAGGATGCAAATTTCTGTTTGAAAAAGTTTGCCTTTGCTTTCCTGACTGCTTGTGTATATTGGTTCCTAACTTCCCTGAAAAGTTGCATATCGCGGGGGCTATTTGATGCTAATGCAGTACGCCACAGGATGTTTTTGTGCTGGTCAAGGGCAGTCAAGTCTGAGGAGAACCAGGGGCTATATCGGTTCTTAGTTCTGTATTTTTTGAATGGGGCATGTTTATTTAAGATTGAGAGGAAATTACTTTTAAGGAACAACCAGGCATCCTCTACTGACGGAATGAGATCTATATCCATCCAGGATACCTGGGCCAGGTCAATTAGAAAGGCCTGCTCGCTAAAGTGTTTTAGGGAGCGTTTGACAGTGATGAGGGGTGGTCGTTTGACCGCGGACCCGTTACGGACGCAGGCAATAAGGCAGTGATCGCTGAGATCCTGGTTGAAGACAGCTGAGGTGTATTTAGAGGGTATGTTAGTCAGGATGATATCTATGAGGGTACCCATGTTTACGGATTTAGGGTTGTGCCTGGTAGGTTCGTTGATAATTTGCGTGAGGTTGAGGGCATCTAGTTTGGATTGTAGGATGGCCGGGGTATTAAGCATATCCCAATTTAGGTCACCAAGCAGTACGAACTCTGAGGATAAATGGGGGGCAATCAATTCACATATGGTGTCCAGGGCACATCTGGGGGCTGAGGGGGGTCTGTAGCAAGCGGCAACAGTGAGAGACTTATTTCTGGAAAGGTGGATTTTTAGAAGTAGAAGCTCAAACTGTTTGGGCACAGACCTGGATAGTATGATAGAGCTCTGCAGGCTATCTCTACAGTAGATTGCAACTCCACCCCCTTTGGCAGTTCTATCTAGACGGAAAATGTTATAGTTGGGGATGGAAATTTCAGAATTTTTGGTGGCCTTCCTGAGCCAGGATTCAGACACTGCTAGAACATCAGGGTTGGCGGAGTGTGCTAACGCAGTGAATAACTCAAACTTAGGAAGTAGACTTCTGATGTTTACGTGCAAGAAACCAAGACTTTTGCGATTACAGAAGTCAGCAAATGATAGCGCCTGGGGAGTAGGAGTGATACTGAGGGCTGCAGGGCCTGGGTTAGCCTCTACATCACCAGAGGAACAAAGGAGGACTAGAATAAGGATACGGCTAAAGGCTTTAAGAACTGGTCTTCTAGTGCGTCGGGTACATAGAATAAAGGGGGCAGATTTCCGGGTGTTGTAGAAAAGATTCAGGGCATTATGTACAGACAAGGATATGGAAGGATATGAGTAAAGTGGGGGTAAACCTAAGCGTTGGGTAACAATGAAAGAGATAGTATCACTAGAGGCATCAATTGAGTCGGTCTCTGAGTGTATGGGGGGAGGGACAAAATAGCTATCTAAGGCAGGTTTAGCTGGGCTGGGGGATCTGCAGTGAAATAGTACAATTAGAAATAACCGAAACAACAATAAGCTAACCATGTTTGGGCTGAGGCTAAACATAAACAGGATGTAGTACCGTAAAAAGGAACAGTCCAGCAGACATCAGCTGTATAGCTGAGTTATCATAAGGTCCGGTGAACAGCAATAGGAGAGTTCGGAGGCTTCTAAAGCACTAGCAGGTAAGAGGCCACGGCTAGCGTGTGCTAGCGGGCCGGAGCTAGCAGATGGAATCTTCGTGGTCGACGTCGTCGCAACCACATCAGACGATTTCGTCGGCAGACCAGTCGTGTAGGATCGGCGGGGCTCCGTGTCAACACTAGGTGGTCCCGTCCGGTTGACAGAGAGGTAGATAGCCGGGAGATGGGCCTAGCTCAGGATGATTAGCCAGACCACAGCGTCCATTTAGTTGAAGCTAGCTGGTAGCGATGAATCCGGAGTTAAAGGTCCAGTGATTCAGTGATTCCGGCAGAAAACTGATATGTTCTGGGTCAATAACGCGCTGTGCAGACTGGCCGAATATCCGGTGATTAATATCCAGTGATTGAATTAATCCCGCAGAAAAAAGTCCAATGTTCTGGGTGAGATACCGCTAACTGTGGCTAATAGCAAGTAGCTAGTTAGCTGGCTAGCTGGCTAGCTAGTTTCAACTGGAGATTCTAGATAAAAGGTAAGTCAATAATAGAATCCGTTCCACATTGAGTGAGGCGGGTTGCAGGAAAGTATATTTTTTAGAAGGATGAAAAGTCTGATAGGGAAATATGTACGAAAAATACAAAAAAACAGGGTATTTACAGGCTATTTACAGACACACGACAGAAACAGAACTGCACTACTTCGCCATCTTGGATACAAAAAAAACATGTTCATCACACTAACCAGTGATCTAAAGTTTAAATGCAACAATGTTTCACAGTCATTATTTTCAAAGAGATGCTAACTGCAAGCGAGCTGCAACAAAGAAACAGTGCCACTCACCAGATGATGAATTGTAAACGTAGTTTGAAAGTTAATCTTGAAAAGTGTGATGCTAACAAATTAGCAACAACATCCACCTTGAAGTTGATAACAGCTGCTGCAGCCGCCGTCCCCAGTTGCATGAACAATGGGGATATTTACAGCGATTTCGATGAGAACCTATGACCACATGCTCAATTCAGGCTTGATGCAAACTAGTGCCTGCTAAACATTATGTTTAGATTGATGAGGGAAAAAAAAACAATTTAATCCATTTTAGAATAAGGCTGTAACGTAACATAATGTAGAAAAAAGTCAAGAGATCTGAATACTTTCCGAATGCACTGTAAAGCCAAGCGGGTGCACACATAGGAGGTCCTGTGAAATAAATGTGGCCCCCCCCCCCTATGGAAATCAAATGCCCATCCAACTGATTCGTTCTGGCGCCGGCCCTGAATTTGTGGCAATATCGTCATGATCTAAATGTGCATTATAGTATTATGTATTCATTGTGGTCATACTTCTACATTCTGTGATGACCCTGGATGACCCTGGATGACCCTGGATGACCCTGGATGGCCCTGGATGACCCTGTGGACCACAGTTGAGGTGGATCACCCTAGATGACCTTGGATGACCCTGTGGACCACAGCTGAGGTGGATCACCCTAGATGACCCTGGATGACCCTGTGGACCACAGCTGAGGTGGATGACCCTGGATGACCCTGGATGACCCTGGATGACCCTGTGAACCACAGTTGATGTGAGAGAGGTGGAATAAGGACAGACAGAGATGCTCTGTATAATGTTTACCGGGAGAAGCCCCCCAGAGAGCATTACAAAGGGAGAAGCCCCCCAGAGAGCATTACAAAGGGAGAAGCCCCCCCAGAGCGCATTACAAAGGGAGAAGCCCCCCCAGAGCGCATTACAAAGGGAGAAGCCCCCCCAGAGCGCATTACAAAGGGAGAAGCCCCCCCAGAGAGCATTACAAAGGGAGAAGCCCCCCCAGAGAGCATTACAAAGGGAGAAGCCCCCCCCTCAGAGAGCATTACAAAGGGAGAAGCCCCCCCCCCTCAGAGAGCATTACAAAGGGAGAAGCCCCCCCCAGAGAGAGCATTACAAAGGGAGAAGCCCCCCCTCAGAGAGCATTACAAAGGGAGAAGCCCCCCCAGAGAGAGCATTACAAAGGGAGAAGCCCCCCCCCCCCCAGAGAGAGCATTACAAAGGGAGAAGCCCCCCCCCACAGAGCGCGCACACACATCCCTCACATTACAAAGGGTAAGGTGCTTGACAGTGGTGTGGGGAAGGAGGGATGTTGTTCCTGGGGCCTCTCAACCCCTCAACTAGTCAGCCAGATGGTTGCTGCCCTCCCCTCTATTCTTCTTCTTCTTCTTCTTCTTCTTCTTCTTATTATTATTCTATTATAGCTGTTCTGTACCATCAAAGGTACCACTGTTCTTCCTCTTTCCCTTGTCCACCTGTATAACTGCAGATAGAGCTGTATTGACAAGATGAAGTGGTGGTGGTCGGAACCAAGTTCACACTCCATTCTAAGATTAATACTAATGAATGTATCCGCCTTAGGAGACCTGCATGAGACGTGCTCCCACATCTGTCTCTGTGTTTGTGTGTGTGTGTGTGTGTGTGTGTGTGTGTGTGTGTGTGTGTGTGTGTGTGTGTGTGTGTCTGTGTGCGTGCGTGCGTGCGTGCGTGGACGTGTTTAACTATACTTGTGGGGACCAGAAGTTCCCACAAGAATAGTAAACCAATAAAAATTTGACCAACTGGGGACATTTTGTTGGTCCCCACAAGGTAAAATGCTATTTCTAGGGGGTTAAGGAAATAATTAGTGTTACGGTTAGAATTAGGTTTAGGGTTAGGGTTAAGATTAGGTTTTTGGGTTAAGGTTAGGGTTAGGGTTAGGGTTAAGGTTAGGGTATGGGTTAGGTTTAGGTTTAGGGTTAGGGTTAGGGGTTAGGGAAAATATAATTTTGAATAGGACTGAATTGTATGTCCCCACAAGGTTAGCTGCGCAAGACTGTGTGTGTGTGTGTGTGTGTGCGTGTGACAGAGAGAGAGAGAGAGAGAGAGAGAGAGAGAGAGAGAGAGAGAGAGAGAGAGAGAGAGAGAGAGAGAGAGAGAGAGAGAGAGAGAGAGACAGAGAGACAGAGAGACAGAGAGAGAGATACCAATTAGGATCTGGCTAAAAATACTTGAATCAGTTATAGAACCCATTGCCCTTTATGGTTGTGAGGTTTGGGGTCTGCTCACCAACCAAGAATTCACAAAATGGGACAAACACCAAATTGAGACTCTGCATGCAGAATTCTGCAAAAATATCCTGTGTTTTTATTTTTTATTTAACCCGGCAAGTCAGTTAAGAACAAATTCTTATTTACAATGACGGCCTACCCCAGCCAAACCCGGACGACGCTGGGCCACTTGTGCGCCGCCCTATGGGACTCCCAATCACGGCCGGGTTGTGATACAGCCTGGAATTGAACCAGGGTCTGTAGTGCTGCCTCTAGCACTGAGGTGCAGTGCCTTAGACCGCTGCGCCACTCGGGAGCCCGGGAGTGTAAAACGTAAAACACCAAATATTGCATGCAGAGCAGAATTAGGCCAAAACCCGCTAATGATCAAAATCCAGAAAAGAGCTGATTCCCAAACCTTCCATAACAAAGCCATCACCTACAGAGAGATGAACCTAGAGCGTCCCCTCAGCAAGCTGGTCCTGGGGCTCTGTTCACAATCACAAACAGACCCCACAGAGCCCCAGGACAACAACACAATTAGACCCAACCAAATCATGAGAAAACAAAAATATAATTACTTGACACATTGGAAAGAATTAACAAAAAAACAGAGCAAACTAGAATGCTATTTGGCCCCAAACAGAGAGTACACAGTGGCAGAATACCTGACCACTGTGACTGACCCAAAATTAAGGAAAGCTTTGACTATGTACAGACTCAGTGAGCATAGCCTTGCTATTGAGAAAGGTCGCCGTAGGCAGACCTGGATCTCAAGAGAAGACAGGCTATGTGCACACTGCCCACAAAATGAGGTGGAAACTGAGCTGCACTTCCTAACCTCCTGCCAAATGTATGACCATATTAGAGACACATATTTCCCTCCGATTACAGAGACCTACGAAGAATTCGAAAACAAACCCAATTTTGATAAACTCCCTTATCTACTGGGTGAAATACCACAGTGTGCCATCACAGCAGCAAGATTTGTGACCTGTTGCCACAAGAAAAAGGCAACCAGTGAAGAACAAACACCATTGTAAATACAACCCATATTTATGTTTATTTATTTTCCCTTTTGTACTTTAACTATTTGCACATCGTTACAACACTGTATATATACATAATATGACATTTGAAATGTCTTTATTCTTTTGGAACTTTTGTGAGTGTAATATTTACTGTTAATATTTATTGTTTATTTCACTTTTGTTTAATATCTATTTCACTTTGGCAAATTTCGCTTTGGCAACGTTAACATATGTTTCCCATGCCAATAAAGTCCTTTGAATTGAATTGAAATTAATTGAATTGAGAGAGAGAGAGAGAGAGAGAGAGAGAGAGAGAGAGAGAGAGGAGAGAGAGAGAGAGAGAGAGAGAGAGAGAGAGAGAAACAAATAATATATAACTAATAATAAGCAACATTGCCTGAGACCTGAAGATTTGTGTTAGCTCTTCGAGTGAATGCCATAGGCTGACGCAGTCGTGTGACAAGCAAGAGACTTGGGTTCAGGCCCAGTTGGTCACATCATGTTGTTAGAGACAGCCAAGGGTAAATAATAGTAAGATGACGTCTCACTATTGGCGCACACATAGACAGTTAGTTAAGCACGGCAGTCAAGCAGCGCGTTGGTTTACGGCATGGAAAGTGAATGGCACTATTCTACATTTTGGGGAAATAAATAGCGGCAAAATACCAGCATCATAAAGGCAGACCATAGCAGGCTTCCAAAAAACAAAATAGCCCTATTTCATTGGATGGTCTGGCTCTCCTTTACATCCAATATTTAAAAAAAAAAAAACATTTATTTGATCCTATATCGAAGTATTTCTCTACCAGTGGATGTTTGGTCCTGTCTGACCGTCGTGTCAGCTTTGTGTTATGCGCTTCTGTCTTTTTCGTATCAACACGCCATCTACTACACAGTACACAGTGACGCATAGCGCTGTTCCAGTCTCCTTCCCCCCACCGAGGGCTTTTCCGGTTGTGACTGCTCCCTCCCCCCGCGCCGCAATTTCTCTTATCAACGAGCAAGGCGGCCAGGATGGATATTGTGAATCAGGTAGGGGCTCTGAACATCTAGAAACATAACGGACATTAACTGCTGTTTAAATATCATCTGTAACATGTACGCATAAGCCGGTTATGAGCGTTCTTATATAGTTATCTGGGATATTAAGAATTGTCCGGTAAATCCGCGGAAAACCTTCCCTTTATGATGCAGTCGCCGTTTGTTGACTGAAATACAGCACATCCATAATTATTGAGGGAGTGGGTGTTTATGCGTTTCATGTGTCAAATTAGACACACTATCTTGTGGCTGTGTCGGTTAACGGATAAGTATGTAATGTTATTGTTCAATATTATGTCAAAAAAACAGCCATTGGTGGACTATGGATGGTGATATGACGGTATCTCCATAATATAAATGTACGCACAGATAAATTATGGAACGAAATATATTTGTCTATCTGTCGTCCAAATATGTATTTGCTCATATGCGTAAAATATACATATTTTTCTGCAATCCTGCCATTTAAAAAAAAGTATTCTTATAAAGCGGGCCTGGTAAAGGATATGTGCAGCTGTCATTTCTGAGATTGCATTGTAAAATGGCAGCTCACCTTTTTTTCCCTACATGGCTGTATAGACTAGTGACTCTATCTGATACATCATGTAGGCCTATAGCAGGGCTATTTCTCTCGATATTCGTTGGGTGAATATAAGAACTGAATAAGTCGTTTAAGTAAAATTACTGTTCAATGCCCTTCAAGTGTTAAAACATGAAATGGTGTCTGTCTTGTCGTCGTATTAAACATCATATTTTCTTCTATTTGGATTCTCTCATAATGAAAACGAACGAAGCAATTAAATTATACGTTTGAGTGGGTACCAATCGGTAGTTATTATTGATCATTTTTCGCATGACGATGCTCGAGGTTTCTGACTGAGCATCACTAGCTATTACCTTAGGAGCTTAAAGCGTAATGGTCTCCCGGTCGATGATAACCGCAGGCCATGACAACGCGCATTCACACCTTGCTCTCTGTACTCAAATATTTCGATATTTGGCCCATCTGTGGTCAAATATTTAGGCTACATGCCATGTTTAATAGCCGATATACATTACATTTACATTTTAGTCATTTAGCAGACGCTCCTATCCATAGCGACTTACAGTTAAGTGAGTGCGTACATTTTCATACTGGCCGCCCGTGGGAATCGAACCCACAACCCTGGCGTTGCAAACGCCATGCTCTACCAACTGAGCTCCATCCCTGCCGGCCGTTCCCTCCCCTCCCCTACCCTGGACGACGCTGGCTAATTGTGCGCCGCCCCATGGGATATGTGGACATTTTACAGGGATTGTATCCTGCCATATAAAATCCAACAGAAGCAAAACAAATAATCCAATCATCATGTTGTCTATTTCATTAAAGATGCAGTGTCAATCATAGCACAGCCTCCTCCCCGAATAAACTGTATGTATTTATTGTAATCTGGACACATGATGAGAAGGAATGGGCCTACTATTGAGAATCACATACAATCAATGTAAGGCTGTAGACATAATGCAGATGATGGTGAAAAATAAACAATGCATGAGAATGCATTGAGTGTACAAAACATTAAGAACACCTTCCTAATATTGAGTTGAAAGCGTTCCACAGGGATGCTGGCCCCCATGTTGACTCAAACGCTTCCCACAGTTGTGTCAAGTTGGCTGGTTGTCCTTTGGGTGGGGGACCATTCTTGATACACACGGGAAACTGTTGAGTGTGAAAAACCCAGCAGCGTTGCAGTTCTTGACACACTCAAACCGGTGCGCCTGACACCCACTACCATACCCCGTTCAAAGGCACTTAAATATTTTGTCTTGCCTTTCCCATTCACCCTCTGAATGACACACATACACAATCCATGTCTCAATTGTCTCAAGGCTTAAAATCCTTCTTTAACCTGTCTCCTCCCCTTCATCTACACTGATTGAAGTGGATTTAACAAGTGACATCAATAAGGGATCATAGCTTTCACGTGGATTCACCTGGTCAGTCTATGTCATGGAAAGAGCAGGTCTTCATAATGTTTTGTCCAGTCAGTGTATTACCTTCTGATGTGTTCATAATGTTTTGTCCAGTCAGTGTATTACCTTCTGATGTGTTCATAATGTTTTGTCCAGTCAGTGTATTACCTTCATCCCCACTCTGATGTGTTCATAATGTTTTGTCCAGTCAGTGTATTACCTTCTGATGTGTTCATAATGTTTTGTCCAGTCAGTGTATTACCTTCTGATGTGTTCATAATGTTTTGTCCAGTCAGTGTATTACCTTCATCCCCACTCTGATGTGTTCATAATGTTTTGTCCAGTCAGTGTATTACCTTCATGATAACATGCTGTAATGATAATAGACATTTCATTAGTCCCACGTCTTTACTATGGATGATGATGTGGGTGGGTGAATAATTATTTAATCATAGGAAAACAATGATTACCAGTGGTCTGTTGCTACCATATAGAGAGACACCATTTCATATTTACTCACTTAGCAGACTTACAGTTAGTGAGTGCATACATTTTTTTAATTATTTTTTTCATACTGGCCCCCCGTGGGAATCGAACCCACAACCCTGCCGTTGCAAGCGCCATGCTCTACCAACTGAGCTACACATGGCCCTATATGATATAAAGACAGATACACCGTTATGAGAAACATCATATGGGGTTAATAATCAGGCG